TACATTGAATTATTGTGTGATCATCCTAAATTTATTGAGACTGATTGGCTTGACTTTCCACTTTGTTCTGCGCAGACCGCGACAATACGATAGCTCTAGTTTAATAGAAATCTAATAAAAAAAAGTTTGTGCAATGTTGTGTTCACAATTAGCATTTTAAATTTAGTAATTTTTTATTAATTCTAATTCCACTATATACATATTCACAAATATGCATACATAATTGTTATTTAAATTTTCTTTCAATAAAAAGAATTACATTATTATCGTATTTTATATTAACAAACTAACTATCAATATGATTGGAAACATCTTCATATCTCGACTGGATTTCCAATAATTACTCCTGATTCAGCTATACAAGAAAAGATATTTTTATTTCTTATTTCAATTTTTTTTTTCATTTTCATTTATTTTTTTTATTTATTTATTTGCCTTCATGATACATTATAAAGTTTTTAAGTATCTCTATATTTCCACACCCTTGTAAATATGAAGAAGTTGACTTAAGGAAAAAGAATGGTTCTTTTGGTACTTTATTTCCTAATTCTTTTCTTTTTACATCATTATTTAAATTCATTCTTAAATTGTGAAGTTATTTTAATTATTATAATAATATTTATTATTTAAGATAAAGTTTTAGATAAAAGTAATTTAAAAGTAAACTTTCTTAAGATATTTCCCAATAATACTAAATTCTTCCAACCAATATTTATTCATCATGACTGTGAAATCAAATTATTTGATCCAAAGAGAATTGTAGATATACTGCTTAGTCCATATCAGTTAAGTAATATAAATTACTTTCAATTATCATTATTGTATTTATTATTCGTATCATTCAAATTAAATAAAGTTTGAAAAAATAAAGTATAATAAATATTTTATAAATATTTCTCACATGAGTATCGATCGCATCCTATTTTTATCTTATAAATTTCCAGGATCATATTACAGGCTATTATTTTTTATCATATCCTTTCAATTTCGATGCTTTGATATCATGGCTTTAGCATAATTTTTGATTCAATCACATTATTCACGCGATTTTTTTTACTGTATAACCGCCACACATGTGATTCCGAAATTTCATATTCATCGGTAACACGAAAAATCAGAGATCACATATTTCATATTTTTACTTATTCCTTGATTCATTAATTTTTATCTGGAACACAATTATAATAATGTTAATAATAAAGATGATTGTGATAAAATAATAAAGATGATGATAGTAGTGATAATTATGATGCTAATAATGAATAAATAACAATGAATAAATATTATTCTCTTCACATATTTAACCCAAATCATTATTAGACAAAAGTGAAATTTTAGAAAGAAATGCTTTCTTGCACTTAATAAATGTTTATTAATATTAGTAACAACTATACTATCAAAAATATCAGCAATAAAGCTAATAATTACAATAATAAAATAAAAGGCAGGAGATCCTTCGCCCTTAATTCCAACAACAACAGCAACAACTATAACTCCATAATAGACTATAATAATATTTATATGCAAAAACCCAAGTAACAATAACAACAACAATAATAACGAAGAAGAAGGCAGGCAAACCTTCTTATTGTTATTGTTGTTGTTATTAAAAACAAAATTTAACAACAACAACAACAGCAACAATAACAATGCCAATAATAATAATATTAATAATAATTCATATATTATTATGACCATTATTATTGATTTTATTATTATTGCAAGTATTTATTCACTTTAATAATAAAATAAGATTTCAAATGTATATTTTGATTTTATAAAAAAAAAGATTTAGATATTAACATATTGTTGCATCTTATTTTTGCACCGAAAATATATATTTATTTTCAAAAAAATTCGATCCCAATATTACGTATTTAATTTCCATGAAATTAAATTAAAATAAATAACCATTATGAATATGTATGTAGGGTATGATCAATAAAATTGATAATTGATAAATTTATTATTTCGATTTGTACACTATCCAATTAACTTTTTCTTTGTTCCCGAGCTCTTCTTTTCGGTGATACGTTCATCAAGCCAATCAAGTGCACTACAATAAACAGATGGGATTTGGGTAAGATCGCATTGAAAAAAAAAAAGTTGAAACACACGAAGATCGTTTCCGTTTAATTATTTAAACAAGTTTCACAAGCAAATTTATTATGATTTAGCCATTTAATTATAATTGTTTTATTTGTGTTACAGACAAAAATATGCATATTAGATAAGATCAGTTCCGCCTCCACAGGCAAATTTCATTGTTTTTACAAAAATGGTATAATTTTATTTATTTAGAGATAAATAAAAAACATATAGATTTCCATTTATAATAATAATCGATTTTTGTGTCATCTCGCGAAAATCTCTCACATTTCCCAACGCATTCCAAACATGGGACGCCAACGATATAGGTCTCTTCTATTACGAGATTTGGGTTTAGAACATTGGTCATAATTATATTGCATCAAGTCTGCTTGGTTCAATAATTTTCAACATATCTTCGCTTAGAAGTGTGAAATATTTTCTTTGGCTTTATATTTTTAACTTGAAATAATTACCATAAGAATTTTTGAATATGGAATTATTGCTTCTAATTCAAAATCTTATTGCTTAATTTGTATATATAATACGAAATTTGTTTCATAATAACGATGTGATAAATGATAGAAAATTCTACGTAGAATTTAGATTTTGGAAAATAATGATGGAAAAATGACACAAATATATCATATAATTGCTAGAAAAGGCTTGTTACATTATACGTGGGAAACTCTAGGCTTATAACGTGTATCTTAGAAAAAGATTTGGTTACATTATAAGTGCCGGAACGAGACCAATAATGAGACCCTCGGTTATTAAATTATAAATATTTACACATTGTACGTGTGAAGGCAAAAATATGGCGACACAAAACATACACAGAGTCTTGATAACAACGAAAAATAGAAGTTATAAAAGATCCATCTCATCCGCCTTTTTTCATTTTAAATTTACAAAAATTTAAGACATGACGAGAATTTTCGTTTTTAATCTATATTTCTATCTTATAATTGTATTATCGTTCTATATATCGCAAGTTTTGTCAAATTCAACAACGATTCAAAAAAGAGAAATTACAAAAGAAAGTGATGGCACATTAAGAGTTATAATGCGTACTCTTAATCCCTGCGGAGGAACAATTGTTTTTTCAAGCTTTGAAGCCACTATCGCCACAAATAACATAGTGACTTACTTTCTCAAGGGAGCTATCCCTAGCGGATTAAATCAGCCTACAGGTTGTTCACGATTGTTATTGTATTTTCGTGTAATTTTTTTTAATAAATAACAACAATACTGAGAATAGTATATTGACAATTCTCTAGCGCATTCAACGATCTATTTTAGTGATAATTCTTATGATCCTAGTGATTCTATAGTGACGTGCTATTATTCTCCACAATCACCTAGCAGCTCTAGCGATTCATGTAGAATCGATGGAGGGTCCGGAATCACATTTTCTTTTTTATCTGAATATGCTAGTGATGCACGGCGGACATGGGAAAAGGATCCTACATACGTAACAAATAATCTTGAAGTGAGTTTTTCTCTATGGAGTTCGAATTCAACCATCCAAGGATGTGTCAATGGTTCAGCTAGCAGTAATACAATCCCCGGAGCTCCAGGATACCAAATCTCATATAACGCTCTATTCCTTTCTGGAGTGATTGCTGGACTAATCGGCAGCTTCACCAGCTACACGTTTGTAAAGGGCAGCAATATACCACCGATTTTTAACAATCTTGAATCATCCACCGTCGAGAAATCGGCTGTTGGTAGCTCTCAATCGCCTTCAGTATATGATATCTTTCGTGCTGCTCAATTTTTTGTAACTACCGCTTTGCTTTCTTTAACTCACCTTCCAAATGGTTACCGGAATTTAGTATCTAATTTTAGTTGGACTATTGGTTTGCCCAGTTTTGGTGAATCCCTATCAAATGTTGCAGATAACCAGATACGAAAAGGAATATGTAATATGTCAAATCCTCCCTCATCTGGATTTATAACTTCTGGAAAAATAATGAAAATCCCGGACTACAATTTATTTTTTTGCGTAATTATTGAATTCTGCATTGTATTAGCGATTGTGCTTGTTATTACATTACTACTTGGGTGGTTTGCCCGGTTGTATAAACCCTTACAGAAAAAATGGTCCATTGTGAAAACAGCGGCGAGCAATATTCGCTTTTTGGTACTTGGTATGCAAAAGATTCTAAAATATGTTATGATTATGATATAATTTAAGTAAATAATTAATGGTAGGAAACTAACTTTTTTTGACTTTGGTTCTTATTGCTTAGGTGGAATGTTTCGTGTGGTAAGCACTATGCCATGTATTCCATAGAGTTTTCGTTTCTAGGTTTAATTGAGATGTAATAACAAACTTCTCTTATTTTTTATCGACATAAAGCTGCTCCTGTTTTATTATCCTCTAACCCTTTTTGCTGCCTATCAACTGTCATTTCACTACGACTGTTGGTTCTTACTCTTTCTTGCTGCAATTTGTATCACATTAATTTCTCTTGGCGTGATGAGCTTTTGTTCCTACAAAATCCTCCAGGATTTATCGCAAGATCGGGACGCATTTAAAACGCCAGTTCACACATTCGTTTATGGTGCGCTCTATACTCAATATCGAGATCATTCAGAGGAGAAACAAACTTGTCTCTGGTTTTTTGCCTTCACGTTCGCCTATGATGTCATTCGAGCCATTGCCACTGGAGGAGCTCGGCAAAGTGGTGCCGTACAAACTGCCATTTTGTTTGTCACCGAAATAATTTACTTTATTTTATTGCTAAGGTATAGACCCTATAAAACAAATCCAATAAACTTTTTAAATATAATCATATCATTTCTTAAGTCTTTGATTGTGATCTTGTTAATCCCGTTCTTGACTAATTCGAGTGATCCCCTTAAAAGCTTTATATTGGCGCTGCAATTTATTATCATCGGATCTTTATTTATGATAACACTCCTTCAATTAATTGATTTAATTAGAGGTTTTATTAGGAAGGATAAAGGCAATGACAATTCCGAGGTTAATTAAAATTTTTCATTATCACATACTATACTATAACTATACTATTATACTGTTTAAAGAATTTATATAATTATAATTAACCACATCTCTGAATAAATAAATAAATATATAAAAGTAATCTGAGATATTTTTTTTACAAATGATATTGAATTTTTGATTATGTAGTAAAAATAAACGAAATATTTTTTATTCTTCAATTTGAATTTAAGAAAATTTTAAACTAAATGCATCAAAGAAAACAAGTTAATTGGATCGTTTCTTAAGATAAGTCATGCAATTAAAACATTCCACTAGATTGTCAAGCAACTTCATGTTCTCTACGATGAGAACACTAGAATAATTACTTCTTCAAGGCCATTTCTTTAAAAAATAAATTTTTGGTCAAAGTTAGTTTTACAATTGTTTTATTTTTATATTATGTAGTATTTATTAAAAATATTACCTACAGTAATTTCTTTCAATTTACTATTATTTTCATTATTTGCATTAAAACATTTTCCATTTTTTTTTATTTAAAATCATAACTAGATGTAAGTCAATGCTTATTTTGAGTCAGGTGATAATTATGTCGAAGTACAGTCCTCTCTCTCTCACATATAGATGATATCATTGTTAGGCGCACAGCGTCTTAAATTATCTAAGAACGGCACATATAAAAAAGTGGGGGCAATTTATGTTATACCAATTAATACTTACCTATAGGGTAGCTGCTGATTTATTAATAACTTACCCGGATTTTATATAAAATGAGTGCTGATCTAACCGGATCACGTCTTAATATATTTACAAAAATTTATAAGCAAAACGCTCAGTGAAATATTTAAAGTGAAGATCAAAATTCTGAAAATAGACACACTAAAATTATTAATTTAATTTCTTCGAATTTTTGAATGCAGGTATTGAGAATATCGTATTGATTATAAATCCTTTTTCCCAGTATGCAATTTTATTCTTAGGCTGTATTGAAGAGTTAACTTTTAAATACACTCGATTATCAAAATATATTTTTCCAGTATATCAGGAGGGAGATCCCAGTATTTAAGAAAAAAATAAATTATGAAGTTTGAATATTTTTCTTATTTCGGAGATTTTTCTGATTTTTTGGATATACTATTTTAATTGCGATTTTTAAAATATCAGATATGAATAAACATCAATCCAATTGTCAAGGTTTGAAGACAAATTGTATTTTTAGAATTTCCATTGAATCATTTAATCCTAAATGTTATATTCTTCATTTAATTGATGCTAAAGTTGCTTCTGGAGGAATAATAAATTTGTTTGATTCAAAATTTAAATTTGGATTATGTGATTGTAGAATATTTGGAATGTTTTGAATCATTTGTTTGAAACAAATTTTAAAAGTTTAAATATCCAAGATGGATTATTTTCGATAAGAAAAGTTTCATAACTTAAGAACAATTGAGATTCGGTAAATTCGGTAGAGTTATCAAAGATCAAAACCATTGAATTTTTTACTTTTTTTCGCTACATAGATATATCTAAAAACATATATTAAATTAGAATAATATAATATTTATATAAATATAGCGATTACAGATTAATTTATCAGAGTTAAGGACAGTGATCACAGAAAATTATTAAATGATGAAAGGTTGCTTTACAGAATTCTTCAACTCCAATGACAACATTATATTCGTCTCCATTTTAAAAAAGGTTAATAAATCATTTTATAAATTTCAAAATGATTTAATGTCATTTTGAAGAAGAGACAAGAGAAACAAGATAAGTTAAAATGAAAAATAAGGTACAAAAATGAAATACAGTCAGTCTTTTTTTTTTAGTTACAATTTTTTGTGCAGATTTCAAACATCAAAAAAAAAAATTAGCGTATTCACAGATATCAGACACTCAGACATTATATAGTCCGCCCAAAATTAAAAAAAAAAATATTTGGAATCTTCCATAAAAAAAATAAAAAATATTAGAATAAACTGTAAATTATATTTAAGGTTTTAAATTAAAAATAAAAGAATATTAATAAAGAGATTCGGAGATTTAATAAAATACCAATGGATGTAATTATTAATATTGTAGTGTTTAATTTTTTAAATTTTATTATTGGTTTCTTTTACCTTCTTACAACATTATGAATAAGAAATTGTGTGCATGTAATAAAATGTATACTTTCAATTCATTTATTTTCTTTTGGTGTGGTGAAAGTGACCATATTTGCTTTTTTTTATTTTACTTAACAAATTATTAATAGAAAATTATTGGAGTATTTCTATAAAATCGTAATAACAAAAAACGACGACTCAATTTATTTACCCTTTGAAAGTGGTGTTAATAGTTTTTTTCCGATTAAAGTTGATGGAATAACCTTTTTCACTAACTTATGAAGTTCGTTATTATATTATAAATTAAATTTTAAAAAATTTCAAATAAAATAATTATTTTTCTTAACATTTCATTTTTATAAATTCAATTTCAAATCAAATCAATTTCTGTGTCGCCCATACTTCAATTTAAGCTTAATATTTAAATATAAAATTTATGCAAATATACACTCACCTATCAAAAGTATTGGACCAGAGGCTTTTTTTAAAATTTATTAACATTATTCAAAAGTCAATTATGCCATAACGAATAATCGAAATTGTGCAAACTTTTTTTTATTAGATTTCCTGAACTAGGGTTATCATATAATGCATTTGGGCTAAAATTGAATTTCTACAAGTGGAGTAATTATACTTTAAATAAAAGTGACAATAAATAATAATTTTAATCTTTGAGCGTTACCCATACCGAATTCGATGGATATTAAAGATAGGTGCTAACTATCTTATATAAACTGTAGCCAGAAATAATATCTACAACTTTAATTAGAAATATAATTCATAGTATCTAGTAAAATTTGGACTTTACTTATACATGAATAAAAGCGGCCGAAATTTAATAAAAATAAAGATTGAAATAGAAAAAATATGAAAGATCGTTTATTCGTCTGTAATTTTATTATAAAAAATATCTTATTACAACCAGTTCCGAAATAATTAGTCAAGTAATACGAAACACGTGTTGCGTTACTTTTGACCGTTTTTGACAAGAACCAGATGGTGATTATTGTTACATAAATATCACATAAAAAGTAAATTTTATTTTTTATTTTGTTTTTGTATCATGTTACAACTCCTTATTAAACAAGTTACAACACAAAAGTGTCATACAACCCAAAAGAAAGAATCCAAATTCTTCTTTCATTACAAAAAGGATACACAACAAGGAAAATATCAAGAACATGACATATAAATCCATCTAAGGTTTCTAGAATTAAAAAAAAGATGGCTTGAAATCCACTCTGTTGAAAACTTGCCAAAATCAGGTCGTATACTCATCCCAAAAAAATCAACTCAAAAAAAAATCATAAATCTCATTTCCTCTCACTGGTGTTCTTCTGCTATTGAAGTCCAAAAATATCTGCAAAAACAAGAAAATATTAATACAGTGCGTTAAGAAAGTCTTTGGACAACTTCACGCGTTAATAATTCAAAAACTACTGTGTTACATCACATGTACAATGGCTCATTAGAAGCTGATTGATTAAAGATTTATTTAAAAAAAAATTTAATACATTTAATATGGGATACGTTCCCCATTTTTTTCAAT